GAATATGTTTCATTGACAATGCAAAATTTTGAATTACCAGAAAAGGATGTAAGCTAAGATTAGTAGTTTGATATGGTAAAATATTTAGGCTAATCATAATTTTTTTTTTTTGCTTTCCTTACCATTTGAATGTTTAACTTTAAAACTATAAAATATTTTAATGCTTCAATGCTTTTAAATATTCCCAACAAAGGTATCATTAATTTTTGGTCATTTTTTTCAAATAATTTTATGCAAAATTTTCTCATAATTATCGATTCAATACATAAATCACTATGAACAATTATTTAATCTCTCACCAATTAAACGATTCAAAGTTATGGAGCACTAATTTAGTATCCAATAATAGCTCGTGTCGTTTACTTAGTGTCGGCGATGTTATCCCTTTCATCATAACGGATTATGTGATCCGAATTACTATGACCTTTGAACTTTTCCTCTAAGTAACAATTGTTATTTGCTAAAAACACTTGCCATACATATGTTATTGTTATATCATAAATCTTCAGCAACACGTGTACCTCATCCATTCCTTCATTTCTTTCCAGATATTCAAATGATATGAGAGTAAGTAAGTGAGGCTAATGGAGAAGGGAAATAACAAATATAAACCCAAATAGACATATATCACTTTTGATTTCTGAAATTTTTTATTCACAATTTCTGGAACAAAAAATATTTTTCCAGATTAATTTAAAAGTTAGCAAATTTTTCATGTATTATTCAGGTTCACCAGTATGGTACTTCATTTTATCATTTATTCCAGTTACAGGAATTACAACGATAAAGGTGGAAAATGTAAAATTAGAAGGATAAATGGTTTATCATTACTGATTCAATTGTTATCATATATCACGTTCTGATCGTAAAACTAGGTAATAATCAACCCTTTTCCATCAAATGTTTTATTTTTTAAAAGAGAGAAATTTGCCGGAAGTAAAATTTGCTACAAGCAAATTAGTCCTAAGCTAAGTTTCTTCTTTTCTACAGTAATCTATTCTCACTTAATCCATCCTTCCATGCATCCTTCATTATCTTTTTTTTCATCCTTTCATAATATCTAATCAGTTAATCATTTACTCTCCAATTAAACCACATATCTTCTTCTTACCTAGTTACTTACAAGATAGTTTTTCTTTTCTGGATCATTTTCTTCTGTATCACCTTCTTTCAATACCGTTATATTTATTCTCATTGCTAAGATGAATGGATACCGGTGGATCCGAGAGAACCTGTTGCGTGATACAAACAGCTGATTCGATTTCATTTTGCTCTTTTTCCCATTTCCACTCCCGCCCTTCTCTCAACTTCTCGGATCTCTTCAATTATCGTAATTTACGTCAGTTATTATGTTCTGTTAAAATGGAGGATGTATATTTCATTCCTCTTCTCTCAATTCAATTCATTGCCATTCAATTCAGTTCACTCATCCATTTCATTTCATCCAACCAATATCAATTGTTCCATTTTGATCACTGTTTATTCCGAAAAGCAAATTTTACAAAGTACCGTAGTACGATGTAATTTGTAATCTGTTTTGTTTCAATTTTTATAAATTTGCTTCGATATAATACTTCTTCAGCAATAAATTACACGATCTAAAAGAATGATAGGTCACGTGAAATACGTGTGAAAGGGATTATGAGAATGAAAAAAGCTTATCAGTACAAAGAAAAAATATGCAAATTTACTGGTAGCATGATGTAAACATTATTCATATTTTAAGTTATTTCTGTAATTTTAATCAATAATGAATTAAAATTTTGTGCAAACTTTAGCTATGATATAAATAAAGGCAAATGTTAGCGAAATAGCATTGATTATCTTTCATAGATTGTGTATGTGTGTGTGTGTGTATGTGTGTGTGTGTGTGTGTATGTGTGTGTGTGTGTGTGTGTGTGTGTGTGTTG